GAGCATTTCTCTCTGCACAAGGCTCCGCAAACTTGAAGAACAATTGACGAAGAGATTTCTTCGAGAATGAACTGAGTCTAGAGGCATGGGGCAAGCATTCGAAACGTCTCACTATAATCCTCCTGAATATGCGAGAAAGCCAAGTCAGAGTTGTTGTTACTGGTTTGATAACAGGGCACTGCTGTCTCAATGGACCCACTTTAGCGGTCTAGCTGTCTAGAATTCGACAAGTTCCCCTGACTCCTACTCAATCAAACATTCGTGTTTGAGAGGTGAAAAGGTATTTACATAAATGAAAGATCGAATATATCACTCAAAGTAGGTTGTATGTAATTCGGACGTAACTTTCATTTATGACCCTAGGCGTTTTAATAGCCCTCACTATCTTTCGGCCTCTTGCACGCTACGATCCAAGAAAGCCTATTTTACGCTCTTGATGCATCAATAACCATTTCACTATGTTATTTTCCACCATAACACAATTTCCAACCTACAACTTCACCGGAAGCAAACACTTAGGTTCGGCTCTTAACCAATTCACTATGTTTTCTTCCAACATAACACAATTTTCAATCTACAACTTCACCGGAAGAAAACACTTGGGTTTGACTATCAAATATTGATTCAGAAGTGATTGGGGCAAACTTCTGAGTTCAATGAATTCCAAAATAGACTTTTCCGACCAACTTTTATTCCCTTCATTTCCATTTGCATTCTTGTCTGTATTTTTGTTATGAAAGGTTGTTTCAAGAATTAATAAGGGTTCCTTCTAGTAAAATATTGCCATGCATATTGGAGAAGTTACTTTGTTGTCCTGTATTCAGAACTTTGTGAAAATCTTATCGTTGTTTTTTGTGATCTCCAGAATCTCTTACTCAAATCATTCCACTTCTTTCTCATTTCTTATTCCATCTGGGATAGGAATAGGAGGTAGATGTTCAAATTATTTTTGAACTCTTTGTATGGACTACTTCATACATATCATTCATACATATACTTTCTTATCATTTTTCTCAGACACATCGTGTATTCATATTATTGAAATTGGTACAGATATGTTCGAAGAATTCTTCAATGATGATTTGTCATTATTTCCATGTATTCCATGATGATGGAAATATGTCAATGAATGTTCCAGTGGTTTTGATTCATAATTCATCATCATTTTTGGTAGAAAAAATCTGGAATAATGAATGTACCATCTCCTCGATTAACCTACAGACAGTATTCCCTTATAGTACTTTCTGAAATATGGGTCAATGAAATTGGTCGCAGTTGACCACGGTAACAGTCCAAGAATGAAATTATCATCTTGTTGGATGGACATTTGAAATACCTATCCAAATAAGAACGTTTCTTGTAATCGATCAGATAATAACGATTTAACTGAAGTGTTGAGTCCTTGAGGTGGACACACTGTATATTTCTATGGATTGTTCTGTATAGAATACAGCTTGACACTGATGAAATGAAATTAAAATTGAATGCTCTTTATTGCTCTTCATTTACTGTAGAAGACACATTCTCCTTTTACGAAATTTCCTGGAGGTGTTGAATCCACTTGATTTTAATGATGGTTAATGCACTTTCATCTAATTATTATTATAGAACATCGAACAAAGGGGACGGTGTAAGGTATTTGAATGAATAATTGTATCAATTAGTTTTCTCTCAGAAAGGATGAAACGTATGATGGAATCACTAAGAATATGTTAATTAGGTGCCAATCAATTATAATATGATATTCGAATAACAATATTGAATTCGATAGAGAATTTCTGAATCAATTGTAACTTCTAACAAGCACCCATCATGGTCGTCTTTGGATCTGGAAATGAGGAATTATGCATGCACCTAAATAATATGTAGAGAGAGAATTACGTCCGCTGTTCACGTATTTCCCGTTGAACATATTATCATATCATATTATAATATATTTTGAATGGAAAACAAACAATATAGAGGAGGTGGTACATTCATTATTTCAGATTCTTTGGGATTCAATCTACTCGTTACTATGGAATAAAAATATGAATATAATATCAATGTATGTGAAGTGAGAACAAATCAGATGATCTGCCCCAAAATGTCACTGCGTTTGAAGAATTTTCCTATCAGTCTAAAAGAAAAATTAGCCAGCTTGTCAGTGGCAATTTGTATTGAAAAATAGGGTTTGGAGAAGAGAAATAGAGGTATATAGAGACACCTAATATCAATTCATTATTCCAGACAGTATTCACCTAATATCAAATTTGTCACTTAGCTTTGGACGTTCTGGGAACGAGTCTACTTCCTTTTTCAACATCAAGGAATGGATATTTCTATGGCAAATTCGGAATCGTCTTGACACTTTTCAGTTCTCAGTGACAATTGATGACGTTACCAATCAAATGAGTTACAGGATGTACTCATTAATTAATCTTTCAGATTTCAGTAGTGAATACCATGTTCGTTCAGAATAATGCAAGCAGATACCTTGGTTTTTTTCTTCTGGTTGTTATCTTCTTTTCCAATGACTCCATATATATCATTCCACTCTGCCATATATGTTGTCTATCTTCAGAATGGATATCTTCAGCTAGTTTCGATCTGTCGATGTGTCTTTTCTTTATATTGTACCTATGTTTCATCGTCTTTACTGGTATAAAACTTCTCACAAACACAAGGTATACTGAAAATATTAATGAGTAGGTTGCGAGTCGAAACAACACCCTATGTTGCAGATATTTTTATTTGTTTTGTGATCGTCACCCTGTATTATTTATATTGAAATAGATTAGTGTGTTATGAAGACAATGGGCTTATATCACAAAAAAAATTTATTTCATAATTCGATAGAACTCACCCAAACTAGCTCACCACCGCAAACCGTTTCTTGCTGTGAGCTCCCTACGTTTTATAAAAAATTATTGAAATCCCCGATTTTTCGGACCTCTGAAAACGAGGTGATGATGTGACGTCAAAACCCTAATACTGAAACAAGACTATTGCAGACAGAGATGAATGATACATGATTTCTGACAAATCAATTCTAACCTAGATTGACTTTTTGCAGCTCCATGTGAAACGGGTCAACAAAGCAATGTTGCTATGTTTATGAAATATATTGGATTATTGTGAAATTGTAATGGTGCAAATGGTTTTGAGATTGAGACATTTCGTTGTCTAGAGATTGTTTATACTCCAATGATTCAACCTACAATCGACAACTCGAATATATTTTTCTGCAGTAGTGGTAGTGGATATCAAAAGATATTTCAATATCGATTTCGATTTCTCGGATATTTTGTTTGGATGATATGACAACAGTAATAAGTGTCAGGAGAGTGTCAGTTTCAACCATATATCTACTATTTCTATATATGGCGCATCGCCTATAAGATATCTCAACAAAAATGGGACCAAAATGAGAGGTATCTTTGAATCTATGAGAACGAAAAGTGAAGGATGGAAACAGCCATATTGGTTTGACACATTTCCTATTATTTTTTCCCTACGTCGGTATCAACGCCTATTGGTCGATTTCATTACCTATAGAGACAGAAATGGGTCCCGCTATGAGGAGAGCTATGATTCATATATCAGTAGTAGATATATATGGTTTATATATATATATATATGGCGAGATGGGGTTCTTACGTCATAAGAGGGTCTCCGTTTTCAGAAGGTACTATCATTTATGTCCAAAAATAAAACATTCCAGTTAATTTTTCGATCGAATTATGTCGTCAATCATTATTTATGTATAAAAGGATCATTATAAACATGGTTTGAGTTAAAAGTTCTACTAAGCTGTACACGCCCATTGATGAAAGAAAAAGAGAATAATAATGAATAAAGAAAGTAGTTGAACGAGATAAGATTCACAATTTCAACGAAAATACAATACAAGTGAATATACCAGCACTTGAAGAACAGTTATAATGTCTGAAGCAAGAAAAACTACCCGCCAAAATGCAGGAAGACGTCAAAGTCTTGACCCAGATTTTTTATGGCCAAGTAACTTTGGAAGAGGAGGATTAGCAGCATCGTGTGAAGAAGATAAAACACCTCTTACCAGAGAAAATACGAAAGTAGGTGGATCTTTGAATAACCTGTCAAAAAAATGTTCGAAAGTCACGTAATGTTTGGAGATTAATTCAGCTAATGGTTCAATTTCCAGCTCCAAGGCTCCAAACTATGGCAAAACTTTGGAAATGCCCAGTGAGACTATGTCAAGGAAGTCATCGAAAATGTCAAGCTATAAATCAAAGCTAATTGAAAAAGTTCAGACAGAATTAGCAATAGAAATAAGTAAATTAAAGATTTTGCAAATCTAGCAAGTACTGAACGAGGCAGACAGTGAATCATCAGACTCATCACTTGATTCTGAAAATCCTAATAAGGCATATTCTGTAAGAGAAAATATAACAACCACAAAGAAATGGTAAGAAGATCTACCAAATGAATTTTCCACTCATGAAGTGAATAAGGAACCTGAAAATCCGTTACCGGTAGAAAATAGCGAAACTATGAAACCTGCCGTTGACATGGCAAAAATCTGCAATGCCTTTGTAGAAGCAATTAAACAGTTTTCAAGTGCTCCAGCAACAAGTAAACCCAATTATGAGAGAGACAATCTACAGTTCGATGGCAGAGCTCAAGATTGGCCCTTGTTCATTGAACATTTCAAGAGATTTCCACATTTTCAACTTGATGACACACAAATTTGATAATGATGATACAATTAGGGACATCAATAAATCAATAATTCACCCTGTATCTCGGTTAAAAAATTATATACCGATGAAATATAGATTATTCAGGAGTACCTCAGTGTCCTCCATCTATCTTTTCTGTTTGCGCATCTCCCAATGAATCACCCTGTATAGGTTATGAAATATAATTGATTTCTTAATCAGATGACGGTCCTGACTTGCAGCTGGTTCTTGGACTATAAGTAGTGAAACGAAATCTTAAAGCTATCTTGAGATCGAATTAGAATGACTTTTGTATTCCAGGGTTTCACTGTCGCATTATTCTACTGCTTCTTGAACACGGAAGTTCAGAACGCTGTTCGTCACCATTTCGAAACGTGGAAAACGAGAAGATCATTGGGACCAAGAGGCTTCAGAGCTAGTAGTCGTAGCAAAGACTGGTCACCCCGATCGAGAACTGAAAGCATTCGGTGAGTTGACTTTATGTCTCAATTTACATATTTTATGGCAAGAAGTAGCGGTTGTTGATCCCTTAACCGCCCACGTGATAACCGTTTGGTATCCTTATCGTTACCAATACCCTTGCTAGATAACTTCATAAATAATTCAAACATTTCGTGATAGATACACGATGTTCCTTAACTCCATTTAAATCACTATAGTGAGCTGATCATCAAAACAAATATAAGGAAATAGTAGAATAATAGTGATTTGGGAAGTTAGCATTTCGTGCGATTTACACTATAATTTTTCTACTGCTGTAACAGATAACAGCGACATTTTTGATTTCTTCGTCTTGTAGCCATCTGATTTCCGCTCAAGTAATGCTCATCTATTAGACAGAGCTGTCGTCATAGCTTGAAATTCGACATTCCATGGGCAATGAGAATTTTTTTGGAATAATAACACAATGGAGTCCGAGATGGAGTCATTGTGATATCAGATACGAAAATGAAATTGATGATATACAAAGCACTCCGTTGATGTATCGAAAACATTGAAACAAGAGCCATTTTGTGTTATAGCAGTAGAAAAAAAAGGTTTATCCATCACTAGTTATAGAGCCTATACCATTATTTACTCCTTTTCAAGGCGTATAAAGTGTGTTTTTCCTACCAAGGCATTCTTCATTATTATCTCGTCATTTCATAAACTACAAGTCAATGGAGACATATATAGTCTATATACCTCTGTTATAATCAACCCGAGTTATCTATTTTGATGCGAGATTCGCAGGACTGGCACTCGAATCTATAGTATATAATTATTATGCTGACATGGTCGTCATGCATGGCTTCTACATTCAATATGAAGTTGAGAAGAAGCCCTTCCATTATGAAGTCCATATTACAGTTTTTCCGCTATTTAATGATTAAGATACAGTGTGTTACAATTTGGTTCACCCCACTCATGTACTTTTGTATATTCCAGATTCCTAGAACGATTCAAGCATTTTTTCTCTATAATATAGTACTCGAATTTATCTACTTTGTCGAGCAAAAAGTATTCGTCAATCAGAATTTCTTAGCCTACCGAGATCACAAAAACTCTAATGAAATTGAAGAGAATTGATTCTGCATTGTTTGCAAACAATTTGATGATGGCAATCGATTCGGGATAGCCACATATACTCTTAAGAAATTTTCCAGAACAATATATCATGAAAGGTGTTTCATTTTTCAATTCATGAATAATTGCATTTTTCAATTTACCGTGTATAATAATTGAAATTGTCAATATTTATTTACTGATAAAATCAAGATATGCTCCCAAGGAATATGTTGTTATCATAATTATGATATGTGGTATGCCAACGCATCGAATTTGAGTAAAATCTCAAGAGCTATTTCAATGTTATGAAGCAATAACGATTTGGAAATTGTGATTTATAGCGCCCAAACTGAGCAACTTTGTTTGTATCGAATTGGTTTGGTTTGAATAATTTATGTGGTTGGTTTTTGTGAAGACCTTTTGGGGCCACCCTTTTTATCATAGTTGTCCATCTCGGATGACTCAATTTCAGAATATCAGTGAATGTTAGATCGAACTAATAAAACGTGAGGTCAAGGTTGGCGAAACTTCATGATAGGAATAATTCTTTTTTTCATTCTAACCATAACTTGAGCTCTTCCATTTTTTTACATACTCCTCATCATTTTTTGAAAAAAAAAATCTCGAAATAATAGGCCGAGCTATCTTCAATAACAAACTGGTGCAACTGATAATGTAATCCGTCATTTATCAGTATAAAATTGATAATATTCATGTGTCTCAAGAGCAATCACTTTCCCTATGATAATTGTTCGAAGTCATTGTTGTCTCAAATTCAGGTCGTCGTTGAAAAAAGAGTTTCATGAAATTCTACACCTCTAACCTTTGTGGAAGTGATAATAATATTGATGGCTTTTATCGATAATAAGTATGGAAATAAATACATGGAGAATATTTACATAAAAAAGTTACTTACTATCAAATGGCAGTGAGAAACTAAACACACAAATTAATCAGAACAAACCAGAAATGAGGCAATTTATTATCAGAAAGGAATATACTTCTCTTACTCATCGCAACCCGAAGATTCAAATGGAGGTTTTTGTCAGATTATCTGAGGTACGATAGAAACAATATTTTCTCTATCGAATGTTCAATTGGCACAAATGAGCTATTGACATGTACCAGTTAACAGACAATATTCAACTAGGAAGAACCCAGATACTCAAAGTGGAATGCAATAATGGTCACAAATAGAGAGAAACTACCAGGTGGCGTTAGGCGTTCGCGTTCATTTCGCGGACGTTGAACGCCTCGTGGTTCATAAATGCTGAGATGTGTTAACGTTTGGTAGGTTCGCACCAGATAGCGGTCAAGATGCTATCTGGGACAGCCCTGTACTGATGAGAGCCATCAGCTCGAAACCGGTCTCCAGGTAGTCACGCGTTTCTGAACCACTTAGGCGCAGCTCGGCGTGTAGGAAGGAAACACTTGCGATTTCATTCGTCTATACGAATTATTGCATAGAATAGAATGGAATAGAATAGTTCATTATCATTTAAGATATACAGTGTATATACAAGGTGTCCGGAAATTATGCGCAAAAAATCAAGAGGGTGATTCTGCATGAGAAAACATAAAAATCATTTCATATATACTTGGGTCTGGAAATGCATAGTTTTCAAGATACAGTGTGTTAAACTTTTTAGAAAAAATCGGATTTTTATTTATATCTCAAATATCCTTCGACCGATTCTCTTGAAATTTGGCAATTATATTCTTTGTCATAAGGGGCTGATTAAGCCATAATTATATAGAAATTGTGGAATCCAGTGGCGTCCCGGGGGAACCCTACGGAATTCTATTGTCAATAAAATGTGCGCCACTGGTTTTTTTGAGTTCTATATCTCAATAACCTCATGATTAACTAAAAATACAATATTTTGGTCTCTTGAATAGTTTTGCAATTTTGCTGTGTTTTCGTGGAAAAAAATAAATGCCAATTCATTGTATAAATTTGTGCAAAACATTGCTTAAAAAACAGTGGTGAAATTAAATGTGTGATCCATGTCCATAGACGTAGAATAAGAATGAAGATTCATTTTCTTCAAATATTTTATAATACATGTCTGACTCACTTTGTTTTATCGAAAACTACGCCTTCCTGGACCGAGAATACATAGTTCTCGATATACAGAGTGTAGAGTGTGTCAAACGTGTATAATATAGTATTTGAAAAAAATTGATCTCCACACTTATTCTATGTCTATGGACATTGATCACCCATTTATTTTCACCACAGTTTTTGGAGGAATTTTTTGGCACAAATTTATGCAATAAATTGGTATTCATTTTTTTCCATGAAAATGAAGCAGATTATCGAAACAATTTAGATGACCAAAATGTTGTATTTTTAGTTGGTCAATAGGTTATGAAGATTCAGAATTCAAAAAAATCAGTGACGCACATTTTATTGACAATAATATTGGGTAGGTTGCCCCCCGGGACGCCACTGTATTTTATAATTCCGATTCAATTATGGCTTTATCAGCCCCTCATGACAAGAAATATCATTGCCAAATTTCAAGAATATCGGTGAAAGGACATTTGAGATATTCATAAAAAAACGATCTTTTTTAAAAGTTTTAACACACTGTATTTTGAAAACTATGCATTTCCGGACCCACTTACATATAAAATGAATTTCTTATATCATCATGTAGAATCGCCCCCTTGATTTTTGCGCATAATTTCCGGACACCCTGTATATGAACGTCAGAACAATGGAAAATGATGTAACCCTGCATTTACACAGTGGTTATTAAAAGATGAAAATAAATATAAAAGTTTGAACATTATCGATAGATATATATAAAAAAAAAGTATTACTAACATGGATGCAAGTGACATAACATTTTAAAACACGACACATGTATGTACAACAGATTATCACTAACATTTTATCACTAACATTGAGCATGGTGTGGAGATTTTTCATACAATGACGTGGAGTGGTGCTCTGTTTTCAGAAGGTGATTTTGTCTTGTGTTATAGATCTCATTTTCTAGTGTTTTTTGGAAAAAGGCAATATTCTTCCCAATGTATTTTATAGTGCTATAAATATATATGCAATGAATAGTTAGGATACGCTTGTTTACAAAATAAGTGCGACAAGAATCCCTCGAGCTCAGGTCGAATAATAGTCTTATCAACCTTTTTTGTAACACAAATACTCGATTCACTCGTGTTGTTACTCCCCAAGCAATAACATTGGATGATAAGTGGGAATATGCGAGTGCATAGTAAACATTTGTCAGGTGTTTTATGGTGAACAAGTTTTTCAACTGTCGAATAGCAAAATAGGCACTATGAAGTTGTTTGCATACATGGTCTATTTGGAGGTCCCAACATAAACAGTGGTCAATTCTGGTTCCTAAGAACTTGGTGTGAGTGGAAAAGGTGTTTGTGGGCAATAAATCTGTTAGATTATTTGGCGGTGTTCTTCTCTGTGAAAAATATATGTATTCTGTTTTACCTATATTCAAAAGAAGAATATTCTTATAGCACCATTCTCGATATGCTCTTAGTATTGTGTTTATTTTTTCTTCGAGTTCATCAGCGTTGCTGCCAGATACTATAAGTGAGTTGTCATCAGCATACATAACGATTTGGCAGTCCTGAATAAACGAGGGTAGATCATTCACGAACAATAAGAATATCAGGGGTCTCAAAACGGAACCTTGTGGGACACCACTATCAACTTCATAGTCTGTAGAGACATTGTTAGCTATTTTGACCCTCAGCTTCCGACCAAGTGAAAAGGATTTGATGAAATCTAGTGGAACTCTCCTGATACCAAGTCTGTCGAGCTTGAAATTGATGAATTCGCTGTGTGTCATAGATTTGGGAAGGATGTAATCCAATGTTCTGCGTGACATATAGCCTGGAAAAAAGTTGCCTCTTTCTCGTTATCTATCATTTTCGTTCATTTCATAAACTATTGTGGTGATGACTTTGAGCTTATCTCTATTTGGGACAATATTCAGACAATACGATATCGCGCCTACTAGGTTTTCACTTAGGATGACAATGGACGAGTAGACAAATAGGTAGATTCTGAAAACTGCTCATTGTATTGATCTTTTTCTGTGTATTTCATTCTCCAAGATTTTTCAAGTGACTTGTACAAATTTGTGGACATTGTGAGCCAATGACCTGATTATTCCGAATTGTTATTCCTAATCGAATTCCTTTATTTCCATGACTTCTTTTAATCAACGCGGTATCTTGAAGGCATGAGTTTAATCAGAACGCATTTCTTTCATTCCAGATTATACAGTCAACCCACCAACATTTATCACAAGAGGGAGTCGTGTTCTTCTGAAATTACGACGACAACCCTTGTGACAGTTAATGGGGGCAGCAAGCGATCCTCCAATGCCAATGATTCTTCCAATACGAGAAGTCCGTTTCTACACCCACCAAGATTAACCTATGGCGGCAGCGTCTGATTCATATATAGATATGAAATTTTATTGAAAAATAGTTCATGTTTTTTTTTTTCCTATAGGCGACTGAATTTGAGATCGCAGCGCCAAAGTGGCCGAATGTGAACTATATTTTATGAAAGTACATTGTTTTGAAATGATTCATATGCTCGTGTGTATCATTATCATGGTAGTGATTTGATTTGTCTGTTCATTTGTGTGCTATTGTGAATCGAGGAAGCTGTTGAGCAGATATTCGATCAATATGAGGCCTGAAAAGGAATATTCTCAGATAAATTATGAACATACAAAAAAGGATATATATTTATATAAAGCAATACATTGAGAATTCGCATTCTCTATGTGATGAGAATATTTACTCTTTCTCAGTTGATTCAATAAAAAACAACTACTTTCCTGACTATATACAATGTATTGCTTTATATAAATATAATAATATATCCATTTTTGTATGTTCATAATTTATCTGAGAATATTCCTTTTCAACACTTTCATACCCAATCAGGGGGTTCAAACTTGAACGATGGAAACTTGTGATTTTTATGGACTTCTAATCGCAGATTCGTGATAGAGTCTCAATTCAGAATTTATTTCCACGCCCTGTATGATGAATGTCAATTTATCATACACCCAAAAGCAATATAAGGCCTGTTCGTTTGTATTGCGGAATTTGTTGAAGTTGATTTTTTTTCTATAGTTGTCTCTGTTCATGGCATGATGTGAGTGTCCCATGGAAAAACAATCAAGTTCAGTAGGTGAAGCAGGGCACAAACGAACAGGCCTATAGTATGTCTACCTACTTCAAATACAAATGCCCCAGTTTGAAGTTACGTTGGTTTGCATTTCGTTCTCATTCAGTAGTAAAATAAATATAACAAAATAAGTGGAGTGAATATGATGTTGAATTTCACAGAGTGGGTATTCGAGATGTATAAGTCGGCGTCAATTAGTGAAATCCGTCATTCCCTGAAATGCCTAGTCATTACACTTATTTTCGGCAAACAGCGTAACAGCGTAACTTCCATTTTAAGCCGTTACCCTGTTTGCCGGAGAGTTGAGAAAGGAAAATATCCTTTCTGAATGAACCCCCTTTCCAAAAAGAATATATTTTTCAGAAAATCACTTGAGTGAACAGAAGAGACTACTGCTTCTAAAAAACCTGAGCTGATTCGGCCTAAATGAACCTTCCTTTCGTCATTACAGGGAATGCCTGAAACTATTAGGCAAACGGTGTACGAAATTTAGAGTTACGTTCTTTACCGGCAATACGTGAAATGACTATAGGCATTCCAGAGAATGACGGATTTCACTGTTTGACGTCGACACATATATTGTAGTCGTTTCATCTACTTACATGTGTCTATATGAAAGAGGAAAAAGTCCTCAAAGCTAGATGTATGTGCGAATGATCAATCTACCTCTAGTAGAAGAAATCGAACATATTACGTGCTTCGTTTTTGAGTAAGGATTCCATATTTTCAGATTCCTTTTGTAACTCCACTCCTGAAAATAAAATGCAACTGAATTCAATCTCGGAATTGAGGCAATATCATTCAATTATACACTGATTGAAATCATTATTTTCTGTGAAAGGCAGAAAACTTTCATGAATAACATGTGGAACGAAGCAATTATGATTCAAGATACAATGACTACTAAACTAACGACAAAATGCATGGAAGCTAGAATGTGAAGAAACATTCAATGTACTCTCCATTGGTTAACTAGAATATCCGCAAAAGGGCGTATCGCTTATGTTGAATCGCCTATAGGTTTGGAATGAACCATCGAATTTTGATGGCAAAGTGATGATGAAGTATATTATTATGTACTGTTATTGTTCATCAAAGTGTCTCAGAACATCATATTGTTATACCAGATACGAGGAAATTCGGTATTCCAGTCCATCTAAATTTATAAATAATATAATACAATCTACATATTGTTATTCATTATGATGTGACAGAGAATATATATTTCTCCATTGAAGTAGGATATTCACTCTCAAGAATATCTCGAAATAATTTTGAATGTTTGAATATTATTTATTTATATATATTATATCTCTCAATCATTTGTATGCGAACAATGTCAGAAGTCAGAAGAAAAGTTTTTCATGTGTAAACAATCGTCTGGCATCTGACAGAGGGCAAGATGAGACTAACGAAATTGACTGCATCCGTATTCCACTCAATTTTTCATGTAATACATATACATTATGCCGATGTGTAGAAGGTTTCGTCTCAATATGCAAGAACTTCAAGTACATACCATTTTCTGTGGATATCATTAAAGATTTTTTCAATTGTATCTTTGTTTGTTCTGATTATTTACACTGCAGCAAATGTAGATCGACTGCCTTGGCTGAGTTCCTAAAGCTTTGCTGCGCTCGGCAATGAACTATCAGCCGCGGCAGTCAATCTACCACTTTGGTGCCTATAGTAAAACAAATTACCATTTTCTCCAAGTGTCATGAGGAGTGGTATTTCTCTGACACTTAACAGGCAGGAAGAGTGCACTGGAAAAACAGTTTGTTTATATTAAATAAATAATATGATTAACTGTTACCAATTCCGTTATTGAAATATGGCTGATTGAACGATCGTTTGGGAAAAGCGAATTATTTGTTCACACTCCCATGAATGAGCCTCATGCATGGGTAAATCATGATTATTTCATAATAATGTTCATACATTAACTGAGAATATATATTTCTTCACCCACACCAAACGATATTATTTATTATTACAAAATCTCTGTTTTTAGTAACCAAATATTTATTCATAATATATATGGACAGCATGAAGAGAAATCCCTTAATGATAATAAACAAATATTTTGTTCGCTGATATTCAATGTCTTCACTTCAGATTATTTGCTTACTATTTTATTAAATTTCCTGGTGTATTATCACAAGTAGTAGATCACCCCGAAGGAGTGTTTCTAAGCCTTATATCAATAACAAATTTAGTAACAGTAAACGAATATTATTTATGTAGGTATAGCCTACACAAAGAGTTCTCAAAGATAACTCGGCAACATCCTTCCAGGAAATTGTGACGCCTTTCATTACTTCTTTGAGCGGTTGCCGAGAGCACTATTTTTGCTCCAAATGTCCGTCGCCGGGATGTTCTCAACGAGGTCTAAGCGATATCCCACGAAGAAATTCACATTCTATACCTTCAGGAGAGTTCTTTGGAAAATTCGCATACAGAACCTTGTTCCGAGAACTTTGAAAGAGTGGCATCAATAGCCTTGTGGCGAGTATAATTAAGGAAATTCGCATCAATTACTACTGACGAGGTCTGTTAGTGTTCGCAACTAGGAGTTATTCAAGATATTCCCACACATAGGCTCGCTGTGAAAAATTCGAGAGATTTGCGTTAATTTACTCACAACTTCAAGTGAACCAAGGAATCTAAAAGGAAAATTCTCCTGTCAAGGTCTCTGAGCATCTCTGAGAGTTCGCATCACGAACTGTTCAAGATATTCTCATGAGTATCATTTCGCGAGTTTCTCGAGACATCCTTGTTTTTATTTAGGTAACCAAGGATGTTTGTGGTATATATAGGCTATCAGCAGTCGGCTATCGGTATAGTGTAACTAGCGCCAGCTAGGGTCCCTTGTTGGAAATTGACGTTAAAGTCATCTTAACAGGGTACGGACAGATCCTCGTCTCCTCTCACTCTGAAGCGTTTGTGAAACAGTCATATAGTTCCATCCTTATTCAATTCTGGGGATAAACACTAAATTTTTGACATTCGTTGTTTTTTATAGGTTATATTGAGGTCACTGGCGTATCATACGTAATTTCCATATGGAATTCCTGATTCAACTATACCAAGATATAGATGAACAATCCTCTAGTTTTAGAGTTTGCTATACTCCAGCATAATCTCTGCGAGGTAGGAAACATATGAATTGTACTAAAAGCTTATAATGTATTCCACCAAAAGATACTGTTATTCTCAGACTGTATAACAGGGTTGACTGAATTGACTGAATGAATTCTGATTTCAAGCTGAGCAGTAGTTTTTCTATGAGCTGAATGAGCAGAGCCTTATGATTGAGAAATGGTGAAAACCTCGATGTGATGGGCTGATGGGTATCTAAACTACTGCAGGTATACTCATGTCATATGTTCGGAAATCCAACTCGGAGAAGAATTTGTATAGTTACTAATATCACACTATGTACAAAACTCCGTCTAGGACGAAAAGTAGGCTGATTAAACTGAATATGTAAAATATGTAGTAAAATGAAGAAAATAATATACTTTACTTCATTTTTTCGTCTCCCTTGAATAAAGTACTCTTCGAATAATTAATTGATCAAAGTAACGAAGGAGTAGGTATAGGTATGCGCAGTATAACTTATAGGCACGCTATTTTCACTCTTGCATCCTACATATTTTTTATTTGTGGTAGAGTATTAATCATATAAACTAATGTCTTTTGCCATATTGGATCCGTCATCTTGAATTTCCTAATTTTCACGATACAATCATTATCTCCTACCCCGAATACCCCCAGACACCAGTTTTAAATAGAATCGGATCTTCATTGGAAAACAATCCACCATATTGGATCCGCCATCTTCGATATCCCAATTCTGACGAAATAATTATAATCTTCGACCCCGGAAATCCCCAGATACCAATTCTGAGTTTTATTGGATCCGCTATCTTGAATATCCCAATCTTGACTAATCATAAAGTTCGACCTCGAAAACCCTCAGATATTGATCTTAAATAGAATCAGATCATAATTAGAAATTTCTTTCGCTATATATTGGATCCGTCATCTTGAATTTTCCAAGTTTGACGAAACAATCATTATCTCCAACCCCAAAAAACCCCAGATATCTTCCAATTTTGAATAGAATCGGACCATAATTACAAAACCTGTTTGCAATATGATCTTCCTCAACAAGTGAATACCCTGTACATACCTATGATTAAAATTAAGAAAGATTTTCTGTAGCGCCCATGGATGTGAGGTGAC